GGGGGGTCGTCGCCGTCTCGGAAGCGTCAAATTAGTGGCGCCCTCAGTGAACGCAACATGGCAGCTCGGCTCGAAGACTGGAATCTTGCAGTCCGCCCAGGCAGCAGGAGGCTGCGGATCGTGCCCAGCCCCAAGCCGGCGGGTTTGCAGGCCGCTGCTAGGGGGTCCCCCGCTTCCCTGCCTCCGGGCCCCGCGCAGCGCGGGGATCGGCGAGCGCGCCCTCGCCCCCCCACCCACTCTTTGTTCTGCGCTCCGCTTCACCTCGGGGCTTCTAATGGAAATCCTTGAAACCTCGGCCACCTGAAGTGGCGACCCAGAGCTCTGCAACGGAGGGCCGGCCTTTCCTCGGTCCCTGACGGAGGCGTGCGGTTGGGGAATCACTAGGGCGGACCCGACCCCGGCACTCCCTGAGGAAACACTGTCGTCGGGTGGTCTCTCGTCAGGACCGAGCTCACTTCCCGGCCTCCCAGCCCACTGGTGTGGGGCGGTGGGAGACAAGGGAAGGGAGGCAGCAGGGCAGAAAGCCAATGCTCCTCGGAACCCCTAAGAAATTTAGATTGTCTGCCCTGAGGAGAGGAAAGCTGTGTCGCCCTTGGCTCGGAAAAACGGGGCGGGAAGAGCCCCGGGAGGTGCGAGCCGGGCTCTGTCACGCTTCCCTCTGGCCCCCCGGCCGCGGGAGCAGTGAGGAGGGCTCTCCTGGCCGGGGTCGAGGGGCCAGGGTTGCGGCGGCTGCCCGAGGGGCTGCCGAGCCCCGTGCCCGGGGTATAGGAGGAGGGCTTCCGTGCCCCCAGAGGAGGAGGAGGGTTAGGGGGAAATTTGCATTTGGTAAAACCGCGGGTAAAGAAAAAAAAAAAATGGCTATGCCACGTAGACAAGCCAGTTGTGACGTGCAGCATAACGTGGTACTGAAATACCGAAATCCGCCACCAAATGGCGGCTGCTGCAGCCTGCCGCTCTGATAAAGAGGACGCGCCGGCGGCGCCCATTTTAGGCTGCTTTCGCTTCTCCGCCGTTCACCCACCCACTCCCCAAGCCGCCCCTTCTTCTCTGTCCGGGTTTGGACGCACTTGGGCCGTGAGGCTCAGAGAAGCGGGTCGGCTCCGGGGAGCTGGCAGTGGGCTGTGCAGGAAGCCGGCCGCGTCCGGCAACTTCCAGAGACGACGCCGCCTCCAGCCCGGCTCGGGGTGCTGGACTCCCCGGGGTTCGCCCTGTCCCGGAATATTTAGGAGGCGTTTATGGATCCCAGGTTATATATCCCTTTGTCCAGAACTTGAGGTGTCTGCTGCTCAGTCACCCCACCCCGTCTTCGCACGGGATGGGAGGACTTCTCCCCCATCAAACAAGTTCAGCAGGAGTATTCATTCCCCCTCGACCTTTCATGTCACGAAGTCCCTTTCAGAAACCCTGGGGATGGAGACTTTAAGTATGTAATAATTTTGGTTTAAAATTCACCCCGTTAAAAAAAACTGAGGGAAATCTCATTGCCAAAAGAGAGCGAGGGAATCGAGTTTGAAGCAGCAGCAGGACAAGACGACGAGGACTGGGCACGGGTCCCGCGTGCACCAGTCGTGCCCGCGAAGTCGCCCCTCGCCCGGTGGGGGGTCGGTTTCCTGCCAGAGCCGAACCCGGGGCCTCGCGGGGCCCATCGCCGCTGCTCGATAGGGCGTCCGGATGAGGAAAGCGTCGTGGTCCCCTCGCGGTTGAAATCCTGTAGGGCCTGACACACTGACTTTCAAAATTGGCGGGAGCCGAGGACGCCGAGCCGAGGGCGGCGCGACGCGAGAGGCGCACGCGCAAAATGGCCTCCCGGTGCCCAGTAACCTGGGCTGGAGCTTGGCAGGGCTGGCCGCGGCGCGGAGGTCGCGGCTGGGCCCCTTTCCACTCCTCCCGGGGATGCTAGTGACAAATGCGAGGCAGCAGGACCATTTCCTCCTCAACACGTCCTTACGGGCAAGGCCCCCTGACCAAGGAGGCAGCGCTGAAGAGAAAGGCGAGGGTTGCCTGCGGGCGGACTCCTGGAGACCTTCCCACCCGGCAAGGAGCCCCTTTTTTGGGTGTGTGGAAAGTGGTAGCACTTCCCGACGCGATCACGCACACCCTGGCATTCCGGTCCATGCCGGGCAGTGCGCTCCTCCCTTTGGCTTTCTTGGGACGTCCTCCACTTAGTGGGCATTGTGAGCTAAGACTCTGCCTCCTATCCCGGCTTCTAGTCCTGGAGTGACCTCTCTGTCCACCTCTACAAGTGTCTTCCTTCTAGTCCCAATTTTAGACGCATTTTTCCCAGTGCCCCGGCCCGCCGCCTTCCCGGTCTCTTTTTCTCACTTTGGCTTCCAGCTAAGTTAGGGGAGCGAGCTGGACCCTTCAGGGTCGGCCACGACCTTGGGACAAAGTTCCCTGGAAAATGTGGGTTTTATGAAGACCCATCTGTGCCAGGAGGAATAGTCCCGCTGCGATGCAGTTTACGCCAAGGGAACAAGACCTGCTGTTATGGGAAGTTACTCCTGTCAGATTGACTAAATTAAATCATTCATCGGAGTTCTTATTGAACGTTTAGTATTAGAGAAAGAGCTTCGGATGAGTTTTCCAGGTGAACTTCAGAAAACTAACAGGGATCCCAAAAGTAGCTTTGGCAGGGACAAATGAGTTCTGATGTCATCGACCTGATGAAGACAGTTGAGGAACTTCTTCATGTGAGTCCTCTAGAAATTGCACACTAAGAAAAAGAAACTGGTGCAAATAAAGGAAATCCGTTTCAAGAACCAAAAGAAGAAGAAAAAAACGTTTTTCAAAAAAAAAGTTAACTGCGGAAACAGGAAGCACTTGACTGTGTAAACAATTTCAGAGACTTTCACAATCAAAACTGGGCGATCTTGAGATTTGCAGCGAGATCGGCTGTCTTAAGGTCTTTGTCGGGCTATTTCCCCGAGTCTGATTTACTGGGAGGCAGGAATGTGTGAATCCTGTTTCTCCCTTTAACCCACTGGACTCTGTGACCCCAGTTTAAAGATGTGGCCCGGGGGCGGGGGACGGGAGCAAGGGGAAGGGACTCGAGAAATCGTCCCCTGCTGTTCATTCTATACTTGAGATATCCTCGAATGAAATGACGCATCTAACTTGAGAGCTTTATGTTAGAGAGCTGGGTTCTGTGATCTTCACACCACATTAGATGTCTAAAAGGCGAATGTGGTTACTGAGCAGTGGCTAATTAGTAAACTGTTAGAAGATGCACAGCTCCAAAATGACCCAAGTTGGCATTTTTAACATAATTTGATGAAGACCTGGTTTTGGACAAAGCACAAGAAGGTTGTATGGAGAAATCACCATCTATTTTAAGAGCCTCCATTTTCATGTAGGCATTTAAATAATAAATCAGAACTTTTATCATTCCAAATGCAATGGAGAGGAAATGAGGCATTTATCGAGCCTGTAAGATACAGATAAGAATTAACATTTCACTCAAGGACTCTGAGAAACTGAGTTCTAGGCGCAGGTTACTTCAAAACTCAAAATCCCATGCCCTCCTCAGATTGTCATGAATTTAAAAGATGAAACATCTTCATCTCTTTCCCTTCACCAGGGTCTTTAGATGCCCTTTGAAGTTTCATAAACCTTTGAAAGGCCTGTACAAGGAGTGCAATGAAAAACTTCACAAGCAACCTCAACTGTTGGAGAAAGATGGAAGTTCCTAACCAGCTTACTCTGTCTGTTGCATTTTATCTCCAGAAATCCCAACTTTTGCACAGATAGTGGGATATGGAAGTGAAGCAGCATGATTTGGTAGGTCAAGTCAACGGAAGGCAACTTTTTTTTTCCAACTCAGTGCAATTAACGGCCGTTAATTTGAAAAGCAGAAAGTATTTGTAAAGTGGTATGCATATGTAAAGCAAGATAGATCACTATTTACACAGCAGCAGTCAGCTTTGGTTTTCTTTTTGCATTTAAGCTAAGAATCTGTGAAATCAAGAATGTTCTGTGGAATATTTTATTGGTACTTTTATATGACAAGATCTTAAAATGTTTTCAAGTCAAAACTAAAACTGACTTTTCATGTAGCCTGGTTTGAATCTTCTCACAGAACTGAGAGCTTTGACATGGGTTTTCTGTAATGTTACAATGTTTAAAGTGGTAATTAAGCAAGGTTTTAAATCTTAATCATTAGAACTGTGAGGGTCTGGTTGGTTAAGAATATGAAAATCTTTTTGCTGTTTTAATAAGAGATGAAACTTTAGATGAAATACCTTTGGTAAGATGAAAAACTATGGCTTTTCACCATTCAAGTATGGTAAAATAGTGCTAAGCCATTTGATACAATATCTGATATTTAAATAAGTAATTTCAAAACTAAAACCATCACAGAGATGCCAAGTCTTTTTAGTTGTGTTGATCTTGTAGTTTTTGTGACAATGTATCAATAGTAACGTTTTTTAGCTTCTGAAAAAGGCTTTTTTAACATTCTTTATGTACATCATCATTCAAGATTTTAAAAAACTACTTGAAAATTTTGCTACCTAACTTTTCTTTATCCTTGATGACATCATTAAAAACAGAAGAAAAGCCTAGATAAATAAGTTAAATTCACCCAAATTGGCAAACATTGGTAAGTTTTACTTCAAAGATTGTAGAGTAAATAAACAGATACATCTTTCAATGAGCTTTCAAGCAATATACAACAAAGCATGTACTTTTTAGCAACATCACTTTAAGACAGCAATGTATTCTCTTTAGCTTTTCCTGTTGTAATTCACTACAGGGTTTCCAAAATTTCTGCACATTGTGCTTTTCGTATCAAATTTTTATTAAAGATCTTAGCTATTTTCTAAATGAATATCCTTTTATTGGATTTTTTCCAATTACAAATGAAATTTCATTTTACATCTATAATTAGAAACAACACTTACAATGAACTGTACAAATTTAGAACAAAATAAAAATATATGTATTTTGTGGCTTCATAAAACATCATTACTGTATCTTTAAAGAAAGCAGAAGTAACAGCAATATATGTAAAAGTAATGATTTAATGACTATAAGCAAGACAAAGCAATAGAATTGTGCTTCTTTTGCAGACTGGGGACAATGAAATGTTTAGCTACAATTTTCCCATACAAACATGAAACAATATTCATATAGAATAAACACCCTCACAAGTAACTGATGAGTGATGAACATACCCCAAGTTCGACCAAAGCAAAACACAAACAAATTTGCTGTGGTTACCCATATTTTAAATTCAACATGCTTGCTCTGTTTAAAAAGGCCTATAGAAGCTCCTAGTACATCGCTTCTATTTCCAAACATTACAGAGAGGGTATATTCCACTGTTAACTATTAAAGCAACTTTTAAATGTGAAATTACTGCTGTGTCATTTATTAAAATATCCAGATAAAATGTCTCCCTTCAGTAATTTGCTGGTTTATTTTAAAATTTGTTTCAGACATTAGTCATAAGTATGCATTCTAAAACAGTTAAGCCCATCATAACCGATAGAAAATTAGGACACTACTTCGTATGCCTTAAGTTTTTTTTTTTAATGCAACAATTTTTAAAATAGGCATATATTACTGGAGAAGTTGGTATTATGATTTGCAGTTGCTCCCAATGCAACAGAATTTAAACTTTGATATCCACAATTAAAAAACATCCCGTGTTGGTAAACCAGACTCGACATAGGGTATGGGTATTTGCAAAGGTCGAACCAGTTGGGAGAATTTTAACAACCACTTCTGAATGCATGAAACACAATGTTTTCTTTGTAGTATTTATAAATATATCATACAATACTGTTTCCTGTTATGTAATATACCAATATGGCATTGTACAACAAGCATAATGCCATTTGATTCTTATAAAAGCGAATCATTTAAACAAGTCAGTAAAATAAACGGTAGTACCCGCTTTTAGGCATACAGAGTGTAAAACTGAAGTTGACTTTTCTTTGATCGGTTTTGCGTAGCAACAGAGAAGTAAAAATCAAACAGGAATCAAAATGGCTAAATATGCAAGAAATCGTTATTCACAGTGACATGGCTACATAGAATGCATTATTCTATGCATATTCTTTCCATTTGTTGAATTTCAAGGTAAAAAGCACTTGTTTCCTACAGGTTCACAAAACAGCGTAATAACAAGAACAATCAAGGAGAATGTGATGTAGGCGTTAGTTGAGATTAACAAACTATGGCCCAATGTTTACATCCACTGCAGAGTATCTCCAAGTCCAAACATGGTTACAGAAACCGTTTCACATCTTTCCTAACACATAGAAAAAATCCTTGCCTGCTTTCCCAGAAACCAATTCTTCATAGTTACAGTTACAATCTTTTCAATTAACGTCCATACAAATATCACATCTAGTCCATCTTTTATAGCCAAATTTAATGATACTACAAAAGAAAACAACTTGGACGATATAGTCACATGTATTAGCATCTATAAAGCTGTAATGTCATGAAGAGATCTATATAAATCGGGGTTTAAAATGGTTTTCCTCAACAGTCTCAGGTATCAACCAGATGAAGTTGCTGACGACCCATTTACTGATGATTTTCGAGGTCTGTTGGCAAAGGAAGATTGGTGGTTGCCGCTGGGGCTGTTGCTGGTTCCATTCATAGTACTAGAAATGTGAGGAAACTGTGGATGAGGAGACTGCACTGGAGTAGTGGGGCTAGGCAAACAAGAAGAGGTGGAGGGAATACCTCCTGCTGGGCTGTTGGCCTTGTCACTCCCAGAGTCACTTTCCAGTTCTCCAGCATTTGTCAGTCCATCTCTCTGGTGACTGATCTTCATTCTCTTACAAGTAGGTCGAACTCTGTACTTCAAAGGAAGTGGACCATTCTACCAAGTGAAAAGGGAACAAGAAGTCACTCTTAGCTCTTCAATGCAGTTTAGCACCAAGACCTGAGATGTGCTACTCACCCTTCTCCAGGTGTAAATGTAAGCAATATCCATGAGTGTGTAATAATCCTTTAAAGGCTCCTCTTCATACATGACATCGATCTACAGAAAAAACATTTCAACTATTAAAGTAACAAAAGAACAAAGGTAAATCTATATTTTTGTGCCATGTATATTCAGCTACTTTAATTTTTTTTTCTCCAAACACATGAACAAAGAATTCCTTTCAAAACTTCAAATGAAGACAAACTACTTCTAGAAATGATTAATGGATTTGTCTTCATAGCACAAAAGAGAAGGTATATAAATTTTCTTTTCTGTTGCAGTTTTGGGTTCAGATTCCAAAAAGAAAAAAATTAAAAATCGACATAAAATATATGGGGGCCATAAAGTAGGTACCTGGAAAGTGTTAGGTATGTCCATTTTACTTCGAAGAAATTTTCTTAAGTGCATCACAGTCATTGCTGCTGGGCATCGTAAATATCTTTTATCATTCACCTGAGAGCACATTCATAAAAGTAAAGTTTCTTTCAATTCTTAACTGTCAGCTAAAGTTTTAATTTACTTGCTTGAATATGATAAAGTATCAACACCAGAACTGAATGTGACTTAACTCTCAACTATACTGAGTTAACTATTATTATAGGTAAAAATGTGTAGTAAGTGAACTTTACATTGAAACATTAAACATAGATTAAATTATTTTCAAAGAATAGCAATGTTATACAAAATAAACTGAAAGGGCCACATATAACCCTTATCAGGTCTAGAACTCAATGTTTCTTCTCCATGTTCTTGTAACATACCTCCTCCTTAGATTTCTCTTTGTCTTTGTTTACCTTCCGATCCAATCTAAGAAACAAAATTTATTAGTGAAACAATGTACCTAATGTATATTAACCTAAAATACATTTCCTAGAGAGTTTACCTGTTCTGGTCAAAAAATTCAATGGATAAGCTTATTATTTCATCGTCAGTTATAATTCTCTTATCTTCATCTGCAACTTCTCCTCTGTCTTCATTAGAGCCGTTGGCGGCTATAAAGACATTTTGAGATTCAATTTTAAAAAACACAAACATTTAGCGATATTTTACATATAGGAAAATCAAAGCAGATAAATAAATAGACTCAACTTTGCTATTTTAATTACTGGTAAGTTTCACCCCCTCCCCACCAAAAAAGTTTACCATCAGCTGAAGGATGAGCTGCATAAAAATCCCTTCTTCTTTTCATTTCATCTGAAGGGGGAAAGGAACAAATGTAAACATTTAGTACAGCAGGTAAAAACCAATGAATACTCCTGCTAACTGCATTCTTAAATCAAGTTACTCACTTTTGAAAAGCCCTGGAACTAATTTATATACGATATCCTGAAGAGTTTTGTCTGACCTGAAAAAGGACAAATTAAGAAAGAATTATAAAATATATTACAGTTAGTATGAGAAAAACAAAAAGTGACTGAAAGTTTCTATAACTTCTTTTGGCAGTATTATTATTGTAATGCGGTCCATTCACTGACAAAATAAATATCATGAAATTTTAATGTAATAATATTCTTTTGGTCATTAAAATAAAGCTACTTCGTAAGTTAATAATTTTTTCACATTCACTCAATCAAGAGACTTGCTACCATTCAAGTTCCTAAATTAGCTAATATGAATATAGACCTAAGACAGCAGGGAATCCTTTTACAAATATTCATATCTGTCAAGAAGTCAATAAAAACCATGTAAAAATAGAAAACCACTTCAGTTTTAAAACAATCGATGGAAAAAATTTTAAAATCATTGGAATAATACTAAATTTTGTCTGGACTTGGTCCCTACTAAGATAGCAGGAAATTAAAGGACTACCTTCTATAAAACACATACACTCAAGAGTGGATTTTTTTTGTGTTAAGAAAAAACAAGGCTGCCTTCAGTTAATTATGAAACTCCAATAGCAATTACAAAGAGGGAATTTCAAAATTTTCCTACCTTATATTCAGAAGTGGTCTGGTTTTATGAACTTGGACATCACAGATAGGACAATACTTGCTGGTCTCCAGGTAACGCACAATGCATGTTTTACAGACTAGAGTAGGAACATGTAAAAATTTTATAAGTTTAGGAGTTAGAGGCCTAAGCATTAAAATCAGTATCAGAAGCCAAGCACTGGTGGAAGATGGCAAATGCTGAAAGGCATTTCCAATTCAATAAAGTAGCTGATAATCCTGAGGCTGTTCACACCCTTCTCACTTGTAATAAAATAGGTATTAACAAAAAGTCACTACACATAGCTTAGAAAATGACTCCACCTCTTTGTACCACCATTCCCAAGGGCTGAAGCTTGGTACTTACAGGAATGTAGGCATTCTATGATGGTGGTGGCATCGATGAAGTATCCTCCACAAAGCACACACATTAGGTGGGGATTTAGCTCCGTGATCTTGATTCTGGTTGTTCGATGCATTTCTGCTTGATCAAAGCTCCTGCAAGACACAGAAAACATGGCCGTTATTCATAGAGACAACGCCCACAGGATCTCCTACTCCCAGCCACTGAGCCCACAGTGGCCCAGAGTCCATCAACTCAGTTAACACCATGGATTGTCCCAACGTGTGCTACCAAGAAGAAGGTACTCCTCAGAACTGAACCAAGCCTGCTGAACGAGTGAAGAGAGACAACTCATCTGACCTGTGGTCATTCCTGGACACACAAGGCAAGGTCTGGGGTGGGGTCTATTTCTTGCATCCGTCCTCAGGGCTGCTGCACTTGCCACACAATCCTCAGAGATTTCCTACCACTAGGGCTTGTTCCAGGTCTCCGGGCTTATAGTCAACTTCCTTACAATGCTCAAACGAAGGTCCCAGGTTCACCCTGTCTTGAGACGGCAGGAGCAATCTGAACCTGGCGTGCTTTCACACGGTACAAAGGGAAAACAGGTCCTGCTCTATCTGCATCCCTGGCATTTCCGGGGCTGGGTGCCGGGGCCTCGGGAGAAGCACCTCGGCCGGCCTCGGGCTGGGGCCTGAGCGCAGCGGACGCCCGGGGCCGGGATGCGAGGGGCGGATCTGGCGGCGCCGGGGACTCAGTCTCGTTCCGGATTCGGAACTCGCCTCGGTAGGGGTTTCCATAGCAACTTACACTTACACTTGGCATCCGGCCACGGCTGCAACTCCGCGTGGAGCCCGGCCGAGCCCCGAGCCTCCGCGGGCGTGCGGGCGTGCGGGCGGCCGGTGGCGCGGGGGAGGGGCCGGCGGGGGGCGGGGCCGTGGGGGCGGGGTGGGTGCGGGCGCTGCGGGCGGGGGCGGGGCGGCGGGAGGGCCGCGGCGGGGCACCCGGTCCGGGCCTCGGAACCGGAGTCTGGAGCTGCAACTGCTGCAGGAAGAGGCAAACCCAACTCCCAGCCATTTCGGACGCTCCTGGGGGCCTCTTCTCACGTAGACGCGGCGCGGAGAGCTTATTTCATATCGTGACTCAGTCTCTCCCGTTAGTACTCACTAGGTCAAAATTTTCACGAAGGGATCTTTCGAGAATCACCAACTGTATACCCTTAGCACGAAACTGTCAGAGCTGAAACTGCAGAGACGTTTATTGCACTGAACCTCTTCAAAGCTTCCTTCTCTAATATGAAATTCTCCTGTAGATTGAATTGAGTGACACAAAGTTTGGCAAAGTCTGAAAAATGAACTGTTTTATAGGAGGAAGAGGAATGGACAGACCCCCTATCTTTTATTTGAACAAACTGTTGCAGCTAAGAAAATCCAATTGGTAGGACTGTGACAGTATGTGTGGCACCATATGACGAGCCCATTCTCCAAAGCCAAAGCAGCAGTTTGTCAGCCCGGGAAGGACAGCAGAGCAAAAACAAGCATCACTTGCCGAGCCTCCCTTCCTTCCAAAGCTGCACAGGACGAATGCTACCCTCAAAGATCCCATCTATCACAGAAGTGTCCTGGTGGGAACTGGCAGCCGCCAGGCACCAGAGGACGGCCAGGGAAGGCAATCACTCTGCACGGCATTCTTGAAAAATGCATTTCTTAGCCCTCTCCTTCCCCTGCTCCACTCCAGAACCTGAGAAGGCAGAGCTCAAGAAGCTAGAGTGAAACACAAAGTTGCCTTGAATAGAAACCTCCAAAATGTGGGAAACTTGCAATAAGATACAGCTGAGTTTCTAATTCTTAGGAAATGTTAATACTGAAGAGAAAAATGCCAAACAACACACCTCAATGACTAAGAGTTGAGTGCTTCAAAAGATGGCTTCATAAAGACAAAGCAAGCTTCTACCAAACTGAGTCCAGTGGCGACTACCTAACTCAACCAGATAATGTCACAGGTGACATCTCAGGTACCTTGGGGAGAACACTGTCCCCACACTGTTCACAGCAGTCTACATGGACACAGCAATGTCCCCACAGAGCAGCAGTCTTGAAATCCAACAGCAGTGGTGATTCAAGACCAGCCCTCTTGGCACTTAAAGAAAAGTCTCCTTGTGAAACCACAGAATCTTTCCTAGAAAGACAAGCAGGTGACATTTCTGTCTGCCTGTGAAAGCACACTACGACTAACATCACTGATCATCAAGTTTGAGAAGCGATGTCAACCAGAACAGCTGCCTTTATTTCTTCTCTACTGTACAGACAACCACCACCACCCCACCACCAGTGTGAACATGGACAACAATCACATCTTGGTGGCAGATTATCTACCGGCTGGCTTTACGCATATAAGTCAAAACACTTTCAAATTCATCTTACATCTTATCACATAATTCGTCTACCTCAGCTCAGAAGGATTGGCCAAAATCCTACTCTCATTTTCTATAGTGGTAATAAACATCACTGTTCACTTTTATAAAAATCAGGTTTTTTTTTTTTTAAATTACTGTTTGAATGTACTGGCAACCTAATGATTTCCCAAACTCTGACATGCTTGGGAAAGCATGAGAAACCATCTCTGGTGTTTTATATCTGAAAATCTCAAGCTTCTCACACAAAGATTGCAGTTCAGCAAGTAAAAATGCCTTAGATATACAATGATAAAAGCTTGCCGTCGTAACATACCCACTGGAGGCTATCAGCTTTTAGTTGGAGGCCTAACGCTAGTAATGTCAAAATGAAGGAAAACAGAAGTAAGTTCTTATGTTAGCAATCATCTTGACTACCTGCAATCTAAGAAATGCAAATGAACTCCATAACCCAGCAAGGCTCACAGCCCAGCATGAGTCTGGATTAAGTTGGGGTCACCCTGGTTCGGGTGGAGAATCTGGCCTACTGGGACACTCAGCATCCAAGAATTTAGTGACGGAGTAGCACTGGGTTTATCAGATATAATAAACACAATAAAACCCTCAATTTTCTTACAAAGCTGATAAATGTGAATGTGTGTGCACACAAGCACACACTGCGACTTTTATATGGCTTTAAAGATATTGCTAATAGGCATATAATTTGCACTGGCAGGTTATCTCAAACATCTCTGGCTACACTTGGGGAGCAGATGTATGAAAATGAACTTAAGCATTAAAAAACACTTACAATGCTGTTCATAAAGTCAACTTCCAAGAGACTTCTCAGTTAAAACTCAAGTGTTAACATAGCCTCATAACTTGCTACCCACTATCAACAATTGTACATCCTTGAATCTTTAGCATGGTTTCTGATATGTTTCCAGAACTTGGGGTTAAGGCTCTTGCAAAATATAGACTGAACTACTCATCATATCCTGCATAACACCCAACTACACCTGCATACAGATAAATGTGCCCGGAATTTTGCCTCCTCTTTAAGGGACGGGGCTAATACATGCTTCGCTTTCAAATATTGAACCGTGACCACTAAGCCCACTAAATCCTTTTATTGCAATTGGAAATGATTAAAGTCTCTCCACTTGTTTACTTCCAATTATTAACTGTAAATCTCTGGGGGGAGAAGATCATGCTTTCCCCGCTGTCAAGCCCAAATGACTGCGTACCCAGCAGCAATCAACTTCTTAGCCCTTTCCCAAAGCATCCTTTTACCACATGACCTATGTTGACATTTAGCAAAGCCTGCAAAACGCAGGGGACCGGAGTCAGGATTCCGACAGCACCCCACCCAAGAGGGCAAGAGCAAAGCTGTGATCTCCGAGAGGGGAGAAGGGGAGGGGGGTGCGAAAGAGAGAAAGGGAATGGGAGGGAGGGGGGGAAACAACCACCAACAGCAGCAGCGACCCTCCTGCAAGACTCAAGCTCAGCCACCGTCGTCACTCCAAAAACAGCTCCAAATATGAAATGCCCACTCGCCAAGAAGCACGTCCCGAGCGATGCTTACAGCACTCGTCCAAGACTCCCAGCAAATACCACCTTGAAAACTTTACCCCTTTAAACACAAACGCAGGAGACCTTGGAAACTGGGAACCGCCATCTTACCAGCCATCCAGTTTCACACAAGTGTCCCTCCAAGTTAAGTTAATAACATTTCTGCAGGGGCTCCCTCTTGCCTAACACCCACCGCGGCGGGATCGCGGCCCCCCACGTAACCCGTCCCTATAAAATGGGGGCGTTCCCTGGCTGCTGAAACCCCCGAAAAGCCCTTTCTTCGGGAGAGGAGGGGAGCCACTTGACCCAGGCAGCTCCCGATTTCAGGAACCCGTCCCCGTTTCATCCCAATCTACGTCTCAACAAAGGGCGCCGTGGCCAGCCGAGCCGCAGGGACCGCAACTACAAGTGCTCTCCTCGGGGGCCATGTGCGTCTCGAGGGTGCCGGGGGGCGCTCGGCGGAGAAAGGAACTAAACCGTGGGGGCGCGCGGCGCGGCCGGCCGAGCGGGCGGCGGCGGCGGCTGGAGCGGCGGCTGGAGCGGCGCCGAGCCCGGCTGGCGGCGGCGGCGCGGGCTGCGGGTCGCTGGCGGCGCCGCGGGAGGCGCGGGAGGCGCGGGCGCGCGGGCGCGGGCCGGCGGGCGGCGCGGGGTCGGCGCCCACGCTGTCAGCGCCCTCGGCCCGGCGGGCGGACGGGCGGCCGAGGACGGGGTGGGGTGGGGTGTGTGTGGGGGTGCTCCCCTGCCCCCCCCCGCCGGCCCGGCCGAACCCCGCGGCGCGCGGGCCCCGCGCCCCCCCGACCCCCGTCCCCGAGGCGCCTCGCCTCCTACGTACCCGGAAAAAAGCAGCCGGCGAGAGGCGGTCGAAGCGGGCGGAAAAGACAATGAAAGTTAAAAGTCGTTCAGCAGAAAATGAATGCGAGCCAAGCGGCCATCTTGAAGCGAGCTGCAGACGCCGCTGTCAATGGGCAACGAGCGCGGCCGAGAGGAGCCGCGGCCGCCGTGCTCGGCTCATGCCGCCTCCCGGGCCCGGCCTCCTCCTCCTCCTCCTCCTCCTGCTCGGCCTCCTCCTCCTCCTCGGCCTCCAACGCCTCCTCCTCCTGCGGGGCCTCCTCCTCCTCCTCCTCCTCCTCGGCCGCCGCCGCCTCCCGCTCGGCACTCGGGGGAGGGAGCGCGCGGAGGGCCGCGATGGGTTTTATTCTGCGGGGCCGGGAGGTGTTTCTAATCCGGATCGGGGCGCCCTCGCCAACATCCCCATTGTCTCACCCCGATCTCTGCCTTTAATACTACGATTATTATTTCATCATAGTTGCTGTGGGGTGAGGTGGGGGGGAGGAAGAGGAGGGCGGGCGGGGGGCGCCGTGTGTGTGTGCGTGCGGAGACGCGGGGGGAGGGGAGGAAGGATGAGGAGGGGGAGGGGAGGGTGGAAAAAAAAAATGCACCGCTGAAGGCAGAGTGGAAACTGACACCGGCTCCAAAATGGCTCGGCGGCCGCCCGCCCCCTCCCCCGGCCGCCCCCCCACCGGGTCACGTGCTCCCCTCATTCCTTAAGGGCGGCCTGGGAATTAGTGTCGGTGTAGTCGGGCCCGCGGCCGCCCCCTCCCCCCCGCCTGCGCCGCGGCGGTGGCGGCCGAGTCTCCACAGCGCCACTCGCGCCACCCTGCTCCGGGCGCGGGCATCGCGCCGGCCCCGCGCGGCCCCCGCCCCCCGCCGCGCTCTTTCTTTCTGCCGCCCGCTGGCTCACACGTCAGCCGGGGGGCCCCCTCGCCACCCCACCCCCGGCTCGGGCCGTGCCGACCCGACGGGGCTGCGGCCCAGACGCCCGCGGCGCCGAGCGGGACCCGCGCCCGAGTCGGAGAAACAACGGCGGCCGCCCGGCCCCTTCCTCGCCCGCCGGCGGCCGAGGCGGGGCGCGCGCGGGCAGCGGTTCGCCCCGGGGCCCGGTGGCCTCGGGGTCGGGCCGTGGGCGAGCCCCTTGGGCGCAGGTAACGGGTCCCGGCTGGCTCCCGCCACGGGCGACCGCGTACGCGCCGACTTCCCGGGAGAAGTCGGGGTCTCCCCTGAACCCCGCAGATAGCAACCCTCTCCCCGCTACGCTTAACTTTAATCCGGGGAAAGGCGGTCGTAAAAAAGTTAACGCTCATTGTTATCAAGCTCATCACACAAACTAATAATTAACAAAGTCAAATCCCAACAAAATATCAGTACTCTATGTAGAAACAACTTATTTATTCGGAGTGTCATGCTGTCTGCTTGCTTTCACAAGACTTGAAAAAGATCAAAAGAAGAGAAATGTACAGTTCCTACTGAAGATGACTGCAATGCGTAGGCAGATTTTCCTTCTTAACCCCTCTCACACATGTGGAAAACCTGTCAGGACTGATGAGTGACAGGGGAAATGTCTCCGACTGAGCTCCAGGGAGGACGTCCAGCTCCCAGAGCCCGGGCTGGTTTTCCTCTAGATTGGGGCGGATGGTTAACTTCCCAAGTTATAACTGAGTCGCTCTTTCCAGACTTTTCGCAGCATCTTTAAGTTTCCCCACCAAATCCTACAAGAAGTATACAGTGTCAGGTTTAGGGTGAAACACAGAACCATAGTATCCAAGTTCGAAAAAAGCAATGAAAAAAAGACGTCGGGAGGCACTTCCTAAACTTGTTTAAAACTTAGTAGGATTTTAACCTTTTGGGAAACCAGGAGCCATCAAAGGAAACGTTTCCTTTTAAGTAATCTCACCTCCAAATTGGCTATTTTGTCCTCAGCTGGAGGCACAATCCCTGATTGAAACCTCAACAGGCAAAGGGTATCTAAACTAAATTTCTCAAGCTATTAAAGGTTATGCTGGAGATACATGTTCTGAAAATTTAAAGTCTAAAAGTTACGTCAAAATAACTCACAGAATATGCTTTTGAAAAAATCCAGTTTCATCTAAATTGTCACAAATGATCTTCATTTTTCTAAGTGTAAGAAGTAAATCGTTGTTCCAGCTGTTAATCGGTGGTTTTGAAGTTTCCCACTCTTACATGGATAATAGAAGCAGTTTTAGAATTTGTGTTGTTCCTTCTTCATGAAAAGCCATTTCAGGTCAGTGTAAAAAACCCAATTTTGAAAGTTTAACTCACTTTCTGAGAGCAAAGCCAAGCTCTTGATTCTGCTTGATCACATCCAACTCAAGCAGGGAAGCAACTAACACTACACTCTATCTCAGCATCTCAGAGGGATGAGCCAGTGTGCAGCAAATCTAACCAGCTTCAACTCAAAAGTGAACCTAGGTTAAAACACTGCTTTTGAAACCCGCTTTCCTTTCAAGTTCCCAGTCAATCTTCATTATCTGCTGATGCTCAACTGTTCCTTTTGAACGTTCCATAAGTACAATTCCCAAGTGAAGGTTTACAAAAAGAGAGTAGTATTCACAGATCCTAATACCATACCTGCAGCTGCTCCATGCTGCAACTAAAGCTAAGCCCTGGGGAGGAACGGGAATCGGTGTTCTAGGGAAGAAAAAGGAGGCTGATTTAAATCAAGAAATGTCACATTTCGCCACCCACTTCATTTTTAGATAGGGTTTATCTAGAAATACCTCTATATTTAAGGTCACCAGATATGCAGGTTTGTACATCTTATGAAGCTGATTGGTCTAAAAAAAGAAAGAAAGAAAGAAAAAACACCACACAACATATCTGTACCAGCCTTTATTGAAATCTCCCTAAATCCTCTTAGAGAATATTCTGTTCAACTTACCTTTATCTGATATTCCAAGCGCCAAGAAACATCAGTTACGTGAGGGAGAGATCTACCTATACTGAAAGATATGATGATAACCATGTACATAGTATCTACAGAAAAACATTCAGTATTCATCCTGATTACAAAGATGTCTACCTCCCATTCCCACCCCACTTTAATCCATTTTGAATTTACAATGCTTAATTTTCAGGTTCTGAAGAGTAAAAGAGCACCTTAAAATTATCTCAATAAACTTCATCTTTAAAAACATTAACTTCAATTGTGTCCCTTGCCCTTTGGCCTCTTTTCTTTGAGTCAGGATCTCAGGTTTTTGTCCCTGTTTTGTTGGACACTAGCTCTTTCCATTCCTACCTACAAGTGAAAAATGCCTCAGCTTGGATCCCTTACACAGTACCTACCTTCCCAGTAGGATCTCCAGGGAATCCTTATTATTCTGGGGAGGGAGAAAGAGAGAGAGAGAACACATCTTTGAAAACAGAGTAGAAGAAATACAGTAATTGTTCTTTTTAAAATATAAAGTAGGTAACCTGATACTCCGTGCAAAACAGTTCTATTCGCTCCCGGTCAAATTTACAGTCTTCCAGAAAAGAGCTGTGTGGCAGAAGGGAAGCCAAAGTTTAGTCTCCAAGCAAAACTGAAATCAGAATCACAAAGGTACTAATCTGAAAATAAATGGCTATTTAAATAAGCTCTGTACCTCAGAGTTGGTCTGTCAGCTCGGTGCTTTCCTGCCTCCAATAGGTAACTCGCAGCAGCTGCATGACAATGTTTTAGAACCACTGGGTCAATGTGTTTCAAGTCTGGGTGATCTGAAACAAATTGCCAGGGATGCCAGTGAAAAATTCAGTACAGCCAGGGTCCTTAAAGGGGTATTTTAATCTGGATTTTTTAAAAAAAGAAAAACTCATTCAGCAAGATAACAAGAAGAAATCAAACCAAGGGAGTGTCAATCAATAAATGAGATGAGCCACAAGATCAAATGCAAAACAGTAAAGACACATCAATATTTCTGCTGTTACTTGGCTTCTATTATTTTTGCCTTAATATATTTACTATTTCTCCAAGACATTATGACTGCAAAAGGGAAAAAAAAAAACATAACACTAGACAGAATAAATGAAAAGGAAAAACAAAGAAACAAGTAGCTTACATGGTATAAGTTTTAGAAATGATACAGGAGTTCAGAATGCGAAATGCAAATTTCAAAATCCTATCGGTATTTTCAGGTCCCCACAGTCCTGTCCCCGCCCCTTGAGATGAACCCAGGTGGTGGTTACTATTTTAGTTGAAAGAACTTCCACTTTCAAACTTTTTTGTACAAGTGTGTTGCTCACGAAATTACAGAAAAAGACCCAAAAAAAAATCGGCTTGGGTTATGGATATTGCACAAATCATCTGAAAGCTACGTGTCTTAAGAATGTTCTCATTCGATACTCGTGCGCAGGGGAGCAGCTCGCTCCAGAGATCCGCACCCCCAGCAGGTAACCAGTGCGGAACAAAGCATTCTGCGCCCATTTCCAGGTTCCAGGCGCAAGAACCTGGGCAAAACCTATGAAGCTCCAGGGCTGGGGCATTCAGTAGACTAGAGGCTGTCAACACTGTTGGACCCAGCCGTTAGTTCCCAAACAGTTCCCTTTGGAACCTTTGCCGGCCTGGCCCAGGAAGCCGGAATTGCGGGGAGCTCCCCAGATGCAGTCCAAATTTCACAACAGCCTCCGGCTCACACCAGGCTGGAAACCCTCTAGGTTCAGGCCGCAGACGAGATCTGAATACGGGCTTTACAAAGGAACAAAGAGACTGGGTGGGGAAGCAGGCCCGGAACGGGTGGCTGGCTCTGTGCAGGTGCCAAGGGTGGCCAGAACAATGCTCCGAGTTCGCTCCGGGTCCCGGCAGAGCCTCGTCCCCACACTCCGTCCGGAGCGAAGGGCACAGCCCGGAGACTTCCTCTTCCCGGGGCTTTCCCCCTCTTGGAGCTCGGTCTAGCGCCTCTTCTTGGAGCGCCCCTCCACCCAGGCCGATCCAGCTCACAGCCGAGCGGCTTACCTAACACGGCCTCGTCCGCCTGGGCGTCCAGCAGGCTCTGGAACGCCGCCCGGAGGAGAAGCGTGAAGGCGTTAGAGTCGAAGGAGCCGGGATCCGCCAGCATCTGGAAGCCTTTCTGCACATACTCCGAGAGCTCCATTGTGAGCGCGCCGTGACCTTCGACACGCGCACCACGTGACGCGCGCCGCGCGCTCAGCTGATGCGGCCGCGCGCGCGCCGATCCGGGCGGCGGCGGGGGCTGCGGGGCCTCCCGGGTAACGTGCCCGGCGGCGAGCTGCCCGCCCGCGGCTGCGGTCCCGGTGCCGCCCGCGCCCCGCGCCCGCCCGCCGCCGCTTCTTCCCGGCTGTCCTCCTCGCGGCCGCCGCTCGGCGAGAGGGGCGGCCATGGGCGCTTTGTGAAGGCGCCGGGCACTTTCTCTTCCCCTCGGCTCTCGCCTAGGACGGTCGTCGGCTCTTTTTCCCGCAGAGCTCCTCGGGGAAGTGGTGGGAGGTGTCGGGTCTGGCACCGGGTCCCCACCGACCCACAAACCCAGCCTCCCCGCTCCTCCTGCAGCTCGAGATCCTGCGGGGAAACTCCAGTTTAAGCCAACTGGTGTGTGTGTGTGTGTGTGTGTGTGTGTGTGTGTGTGTGTGCTTTAATGAACTAGCTTAACCCCGCAGCACTGCCCTTAAAAGTGAGACTAGCAAGCTAGTCCTACAGTTGTTTATTTTTTACTTTGTTTGCCTCTTCTGGAATAAGGCACTAAAGTGCTCACTTGGTGGTGATGTGTGTGTGTGTGTGTGTGTGCGTGCACGCGCGCACGGACAGGCACATGGTGTGTGCGAGTGTTTTACTCCAGCCCTACAACTGGGAGATTAGTTATTCCTGCACGTGTTTGACAGGATGCTTGAAAACCGTCCCCGTCGCTGCAGATAAGCACCTTGCCGAAGCAATCCCATCTAGATACACATATTGTACACCCCTTTTGTGGGTCCGGTGTTATAATTACTTCATACAGTCTTGGTAACGCTTAGATGATTATCTCAGTGCACTTAGTGGCAGGATCTTCCTCAGCTGTGAGTTCCTGTTTGCAATAGCCGTAACTTTAGAGATTCAAGAATGTAAAAACTCTAACGACCCTTCTGGTTCTACGAACTTGGCTTGGGGAACAAGAAAGATTCTTAAAAACGAAAAAGAAAGAACCCGCGAAGCAAAGCAGATGAGGCATTTTCCATCAAAAGAACTTGAAAAGTTACAAATGTGAATTGATGAGGGAGGGAGTGGAGGATTACGAAGGAGAAAGTTGTTGTTACAGTCCAGCAGCGATTGTTGGCAACGTCAGCTCAAGGTGAAACTTGCTCGGCATAATTCACTTAGGCGTCCGGGAGTTGGGGAAGGGGGTTTTATGCAATCAGATTCGGTTTGGCACCGGGTCCCTGGGAACAGCGGCTGGAGTCTGGAGCCTCGGGAGCAGGTGGAGTGACTTTCCTCCGTCCTTTGCAGGCTTTCAAAAGCTCGTGCCCAGCCGTCCCCGCCGTGACAACCGAGCAGCACTGAAGGCTGAAAAGTCTCCCTGGGGTCTGTTTGAAACAAACCCCTATTAATCACGTTCATATTCTTTTTCTCATCTCTTCATTTTCATTCTGATTTCTTTGCTTCTTTTCAATGACCCGTTAGTTGAAAAATACTAAGATAATCTGACTTACCCAGGTACTATCCTTTTTTTACAGGAAAAAGTTGTGCAAATGTTAAACAGTATTAACACCCAAGCACCTTATGTTGATTACATGTATATTCTATGAGCTAGTCTAACACTGCTAACACTCTGATAGCACCTGAGGTGATCATTCTAATCCTACTGAATTTGTGTCAAAACCAGAAAGCATTAGTGCACAAACACAGATTTTAAAGGGTCATAAAGGGTTATTTTAAAACAGGAAAATTAACACAAGATTGCAGGCATAAAAGTTAGGAAATTCACAAGGATTGTTTCCATAAAAGCTGTCACGTTACTCTCTGGGCCATATGTAAGTACTTTCTCTCGAAGGATGTTTGTCCTCTACTGCCTAAATATATTCATGTGTTAGGCCCAAGTTAAGGATACATTTCCAGCTCTCAGAAAGATTTTAACCACAATGTTTTCTGTTGCTAAAAAAAAAAACTAAAATTTCCTACTACAGGTACATTTATTTCAACTCCCTTTGAAGGAAGCACAGGATTAAATATTTGTTTAAATGTAGAACATGTGTGTTTTTGACAAGCTATTGAAATACATGGAAGTATAATCATTAAAAGGCATGACTACCCAGATGTAGGTTTCCTTGGTTTCATAAACAAAACTAATGCATTTTATATTATTAGAAAAACTATGAGCATATTCTGAAAAATACTATTTAAAATTTTTTCTTTGATCAATGAAATAAGCATTGGAACTTTCATTAAACTTGTAATAATTCCACTGAAAGCCAATAGACTAGATTCGGCCTCAAAGAGACTTTTAAAAGAATAATTGTGTGCAGCTGAAAATAATGAAATAAAGACCAAACATCTTCATGTTAATTATGTATTGTACTTCTAAACTGTACAATTTAGGCAGACCATTGATAAATTTGTTTTTCTCTTCAAGAATCTAGAATTTATTTGAAGAACTGGAAAGTATAATTTTTAGCAATGTTTTAGTTTTGAAACACATTGTATCCTTTCCACTGGTTGGTTAATATCTTCTAGAAACCAATTTAATATTGGCCCCTGAAACTGTGATTTCCATTCAAATGGGCTGGGGCTTTTACAGGATCTATGTGGTCAACTTTTCCCAAAGGCCTCATTGCTACTTTTGTTAGTTTTATGAATTAAAATATTTTCTTTATGGTATATAAATATTTCTACTTTTGTGCAAAGAAGACCTAAGGAAAGTTTACCTTTAGATTGAAAAATTCCTGGAATATGCATACGGAGGAAAGAAATGAGGTAGCCACAAGTTTTGAACGGCATCAGTACTATGCCAGCCTAAAATAAAGGATGTGTCCTATTCCAGTCCATGAAATTCTTGCTTAATTTTTAGAGAAAAGAAAGTTAGAAGACGTTTTAAAACCACCTATACCTTTAAAAACCATTCTCTCTATTCCCCTACCCCATATTGGTTAGTCATGAGTATTTTTGAGTAAAAATAGAACTTAATGCTTTTAAGTTTTTTAAACAATAGTTGGGCAGTGGAGAGAAATATGTAAATGGCTTAAACATGACCTTTGAGAATAAGGATTATAAAACCTATGTGCTCATGCATTTATTCTATTGGCTAACTTAACTGGTAGGCATAAATTAGGACTCATGATGTCAGTGGTCAAGTTCTTGCGCATCCAAACCATGCAGTTCATGGTCTCAAATTGTGCTTTGCATCAGACTCCAAATTCAAAGGGATAGCAAGATTTTATTTTAATTTATTGATTATCAAATCAAATACCAATTATTTTTAAATGGTCATTGTTTCGTTATGTCAGACAAATAACACCTCTACCTCTCGCCTCCCTCCCCACCAATAATGTAGACTAGTTTGTAAGTGAAGATTTAAAATAAACTTGAAATTCATTTCAGAGGAGTCTGTACCTTAGCATGTGAGGGAAAGTGAAATGCCACCTACGTTAAAGAAACTGAAACCACAGGATTGACAATCAGTGATTCAGGGGCTAGAACTATAGCTCAATAAGCTAGTCCTCCACATTCAAGTGCCAGCATCCCATATCTTGTTAACTCTGCTTCCAGTCCAACTCCCTGTTTATGGCCTGGGAAGGCAGTAGAGGATAGATCAAGTCCTTGGGCCCCTGTACCTGCGTGGGAGACCCAGAGGAGACTCCTGACTCCTGGCTTCAGATCAGCTCAGCTCTGCTGTTGTGGCCATTTGTGCTGTGAAACAGCAGATGCAAGATCGTTCTGTCTCTCTTTCTCTCTCTAAATTTGCCTTTACAATAAAAATAAAGTGAAATCTAAAAAAAAATCAATAATACAGTGTTGCCTAAAACATTTAGAAAATTAATGCATTTTTGTACATTTTGGATTTTTTCCCCCTAAAAGCTTTCTTCAAAACATTTAGGTTAAATAGAAAATAATTCAGCTTCTATGTAACTAACATTTTCATAATTTAGTACCATTCTTAACACATTTTAAAATATTGTATCAAGGGGAAAACATCAAAATATATCAAAATATCAAAAATATGATAATAACTCAATGCTTTAAAAGGTCTAATTATGCTACCAAGAAATTGAGGTTCTCAAAAAGATAAATCTCAAAACATTGCCTTCAGTGAAGGTTATATCATTAAACTTTTCAAATAAACAAAGTCTGTCATCAACATAGTGACAAAGAATACTCTTGAATGAATGGGGTGAAATACTGGAACCATCATCAGTAATGCAAGCCATAATTTTCTTATCTATTTGAGGCACAACATGATACCTATAAAACTAAAGGAATATGCCTAAGAATAAATTTATGATCTGTAATATCAAATGTTTGTACCTAACCAGACTCTAGTTCTAGGAAGGTCTTTGTATATTTCAGAAAAGCCATGTCTTCCCTCTGGGCTTCACTGTAACATACTGGAACCTAGTTTAGTCAGTTTTAACCTCTATTTTTAAGAAAAGCAATTAATGTTGATCATGAATAAATACAATTTTAAAAAGTGGAAGCAAATGTTCATTTAAAGCTGCAGGAATTAAGAAATAAAGCAGTCATATTCCATCTAACATGTAATGAGAAAAGAACAGATTGAATTATGTGGATTAAAATTTCCCTACATGAACCAATAAATAACAATGTGTCTTTGAATTCAGTAAATGATTTAAAGGATTTAAATTTACATTTTTTCATATAGACAGATTATGAAATTTATATTCACTTCACCAGAAAACGAATGTGAAAATTCGGAGCTGACCAATCACCTCAGAAATTCTGTCAAACAGTTTAGATAGTGGACACAATTAACTCCTTAACAGCAGGTTGATTTATTTGTTTTTTTTTTTTCTATACTGAAATTAAAATTACAAAGCCCACCTTTTCAGTTTTCTAGTTCACTAATGTGGCATCAGCCAGAATAACCCATGGCTTCAGCTATCGAACTGAAAGTGAAGCATAGATTTGTTGAAACTATTTTGGTAAGTATCATGTATCTAATTGTTCCATATGCGTATAGA